TTAACTTGGCGTGAGGTGTCAAAGAAGTCAAATGACCTCATGACATGAAGACAGGGACAGCATCAGTCATAGTAGCCACCAATTGCTGAAGCCGTGCTAACCAGTGGGCCAAATGGTCTTGCATGCATGGGCATGGCACATATAGACCTGTGGTGACAGTGCCTGAGCGAAGCTCTTCTGCTCTTAGCAGACAGCGAGGCATCAAACCAAGCACAACAATGAGAGGCTGATGGCAGAACTCCGGGCCCATGGTCCGCAAACGCCGACACACTAAACCCTAAACTCTAAACCGCCGACACCACGGAGTGCCCGTCCTCTTCCCAGTGCTCGCAACGAAGTCCAAAGGATCATCCTTGCACGGGCTGGCAATCATGCTTGAATAGGGTTTAGGGTTTAGGGTTTAGGTTCTTGTCAGGCGACAGAAGAGGTGTGTTCCACTAAGGCCTGACGTGCTGCCTATAGGAGGTGTGGGGCCCCTGCGGTTCCACACTACTTCTGAGATGCTGGCGGCATAGGCGACGACACGAGAGCCTCTGTGCAAGGCTTCCCAGAGTTTCCCAGACAGGTGGTTCCAGCTCGTCGCTCTAGGCTACAGAAGCGAGCTTCAGAACAAGCACCTCTCCAGAAAGTAGCAGAAAAAGCAACCATAGGGCTGTGGGTTAACCCTGGACCCTAAACCCTGAACGTCATGTGGAAGCATCGGAAGGTTCCACACGGACCCCCGTCCTTACTTTAAGTGTATTACAAAAGCAAAGGTGATCACCACTAGTTGGAGGCCCAGGCGACTTAGTAAGTAGGTTATAAGTAGAGTTATAAGTATCCTAACTGGAGTTACCCCAATGATAAGCCTACTTATAACCGACTTACTAAGTCCCCTGGGCCTCCAAGTATTACGGTACTGGCCAGTAATGGCTTTAGCAGCTGGTATGATAGATGTTGCCAGCCCAGGACCTTCGGATGCAAGTGCCCTGGCTTTGCCTTTGGGGTTTAGGGTTTAGGGTTTAGGATTTAGGGTTTAGGGTTTAGGGTTTAGGGTTAAGGGTTTAGGGTTTAGGGTTTAGGGGTTTAGGGTGTCTGTGTGTCCTGATAACTGCCAGCGAAAGGTAGTTCTTACGAACAACAATAGTGACTGCATGGCGACTAAGTACATATGGAAACAATCCCCAACTCGCAGTTACAGTCGTATGAGTGACGCCGGCGCATTAGTAACTCGGCAGTCGTGATGGAACGAAGCACCCTAAACACTAAACCCTAAATCTTAAAACCTAAACGGACGAGTCATGATCGAAATCGACGCTCGTATCCCCCAAGCTTCGTGCTCAACAACCGTTTTGCACTCGTCTCTTCAAGTAAATCTCCTGCTGTGATTTGGGGGGTGCATAAGCAGGGTGTATGAATTTGTGCAGCTTATGGCTCGAATTTACGGACCCACGCTTCGGTATGTGTGTAATTATGCACCTCAAATCGAAGAACTGGGCATACCACCATACTGTATTATCCACTATATCGTCGGTCACATGCAAGCAAGCTCTTAGACTACTTGCTGCATTCTAGAATACCTCTCAACCCCAAAACCCTACACCGCAAACCCTACACCAAAAGCCCTAAAACTAACCCGTACACCCTAAACCCGAAGCCCTACACCCAAACCCTAAACCCTAAACCCCAAAACCCTAAACCCTGCTACTTTGGTCAAGTCGGCAAACCCTACGGGGCACTGAGATCAGAGCTGCTCGCACGAGGCGCTTGGGAAGGGGCCTGGGTCCGAGATGTGCAGCGTTTGGGGCTTTCGGATTCTAGGGTTTAGGGTTGTTTGGGGCTTTCGGGTTTTAGGATGCTTTAAGGCCTCGCGGGGGAGGGGGGGTTTAGGGTTTAGGGTTTAGGGTTTAGGGGTTTAGGATTTAAGGGTTTAGGCTTCTAGGGCTATAGGGGTTTAGGGTTTCAGTGCTGTCGGGTGTAGGTTCTGGCGGCATGGTCTGCGCTGGCTGCCGCATCGCTGTAGGAGTGCAGCCCTGAGAACTGGCTATCGAAGAATCACGGCATTCGGGGCTGGGAATCTCAGCTAAGCGAGAAACAGTGCAGACCCTTCAAGCGCCTGATAACCGTTTCAACATTACTTCTTCCTTAACTGCGCATATCTACAGTAAGCTGACACTGCCCACCCAAACCCGAAATTCGTTTCAATGCGGACAGAGTAATCAAAAGCCTTTGGACTTTTGCTGCCTCTCAAGAATTGCTTGGTTCTTGACCCCAAGTAGCCAAACACCCCTCATGGGGAAACCCTATGAAGCGCCTTTCTGACCACTGAGGCCCCGGCCCCCACGAAGGCGGGAGTGAAGAAGTGCAGGGCACCGATGAAAGCGCTCGCAAGCTGCGCAGAAGAATGAGCTTGCTTTTTTGAGGGGTAGGTCCCGAAACTAGTAATATCCGTGAGCATAGGTAACACAGCAAAAGGAAATACCGGATGGTTTGTGCTCCAAACGCGACGCATGCGGCCCGGTTAGCTACCCCTGGAACGGCAGGTGCACAAGACGGTTCATGTTGAGGTGTGGGGAATATACTTTAGTCCTACGGTTGTTGGTATACATCCTGCATTACCCATGATAAGGAATCTGCCCTAATTCCCATAGTGTAGGGCGCTTAAGGTATTGCAGGATTTATGTTATAAACCCTAAACCCTAAACCCCTAAACCCTAAACCCCTAAACCCTAAACCCTAAACCCTAAACCCTAAGGGTCTACTTTTCAGGGGTGAGAGGATACTTTAGCTTCCTCGGTGGAGGGCTGTTCGGTTTCAGGGGCAGGTCTGCACCCGACTCCGAACAAGCCGTGTTTGGGTTTAGGGTTTAGGGCTTAGGGTTTAGGGTTTAGGGTTCCAGTGTCTGTGTTGTTGTTGCTGTTTCTGCTTTTGCTGCTGTTGTTGTTGTTGTTCTTGTTGTTGTTGTTGTTGTTGTTGTTGTTGTTGTTGTTGTAGTTGTTGTTTTTGTTGTTGTTGTTGTTGTTGTTGTTGTTGTTGTTGTTGTTGTTGTTGTTGTTGTTGTTGTTGTTGTTGTTGTTCGTAATACATAACTGTTCTCGTTTCTTATGTAGGCCACACGACCTATTCTGCGATTTTCCAGCGTCCAGATTGGAAAACGGACGAGAACACGCCTCAATTCAGAACGGGTGACATCTAAGTCCGTCTGGGGCCCTGGCCAGAAGCACAGGAAGGAGCAAGCTTCGCGCCATGATGTGGCGAATAGGGCAGGGCGCAGAACTCCGAAACTCACGCAAACGCTGCGGCGAAGTTTTCCCCTCTCCACCTGGGTTAGTCGCAGGTCCATGAGGAGCAGGCGACTCCTAGCTCACCGTTGCGGGAGTGCTCTCCTTGACATGATGATGGTGAGGGTTTAGGGTTTAGGGTTTAGGGTCGTTGCTAAAGAACTGTCCCATCTCAAAACCTCCAGAGTCCTTTAGGAAACCCATAAGGAAACCCTTTGGGGGGGCATTGATCAAGTGCCTCGGCGACTCGGAACTTCCGGGGTATCTTGCAACAACCAGCTGCTGTTCTGCACACTTCAGAAATCAGGAGGCTCGTGCTAAGCCCTAAACCCCGATCAACTCCTATTCTTTCTTTTTGCGCGCGCCTCGCTCTCCATCCCGCACAAGAAGGGTTTAGGGTTTATAGGGTCTAGGGCTTAGGGTTTAGGGCAAGGTAGGAGGGGCTTGGTCGCTCTGGGACTCAGTCTGAATGGGTGAGTCAATGTGGCAACGCCAGGACAGCGAAGTGAATCGCTTACCTGGGCCTATGGGCTTGCTCTGCGTCGGTAAAGCCCGTGCGTAGCAGGGCAGGGCACCAGAACAACAGTGCCTCAGAAAGGCAGTGCAAGCAGTAGCGAGGCTTTCGAAACCAACGCTCCAACAAGTGAAGTGAAGCAGTGTGGCACATGCCCGGAACATCTGAGAGGCACGCACTTTTCTCACTCTCCCCCCGCAGCTCTGGTACGTTGTGGCTTAGCCAACAAGAGCCGCTCGCACTTCTGCGATGCTTCAGAACTACGCGACTTGCTGCGCAGCAGCGTACATGCATACCTTAAGAACCCCAAAACCTCCTTTTTTGTAGGGTCCCTATAAATCCTGTATTAAAGTTAGTATAAGAAGAACCTGCAAAAAAAGGTGGGTTTTGGGTTCTTAAGATATAGTTTGGGCCGACGGTGCGTCAACCAGGCAATCCACTCAGGCGCAAGTCATCGAGAGTCATCCTGCCGGGCGCCAGGAGTGGCAAAAGAAGCGTGAAAAAAAAGGGGGGGGGGTTTAGGGTTTAGGGCTTAGGGGTTTAGGGATTTTAGGGGTTTAGGGGTTTAGGGTTTAGGGTGCGGTCACTGAAGCCTGTAAAGGCGGAAGTGCAGGCCAAATGGGGACTGGACACCAACCCCAAGTTGCAGCTTTGAGCGAACGTTCCCCCACAGTCCGAGAGCATGTCGCTGTCGGAACCTGCAGGGCATCAACGATATAAACACAGAAACAGTCTTGGTTTTTGTCCTATGCCTGATGGCAGCCACAAGACGACACGGCTGCTGTTGGAGGCAGCAAGAAGGGAATTATGAAGCTGTCGCGTTGTTGGGCAGCGCGGAAAGGTCTCAGCTTGAAAGATACGCACGAGAACTTAGTAAGATCGTCCTTGTCTCAGGCCAGCAGCACGACCGTGCCGAGAACCCCTACTTTGATCGTGAGGCTATCCTGAGCCCTAAACCCTAGAGCTCAAGAACTGCTCAGTCTATGCCTTCGTAGTCATCGTCGTCATCGAGGTCGTCCACAATAGTCTTTTCGTTCTGCTTCATCTGCATCCTGTCATGTGGGCATGATCCTACCTACAGCAGGGACCAACTAACTATTCGATCCACTGTGTAGCATCCCTGCACACACGCACAAACGCAGACATACAATAGGTCGCATGCACGACCATCCAGATGGTTTACGTTGCCGCATGCCCCAAACAGGAGTGGTCAAGTCTAGTCAGGTCTACGCCGTCACAATGGCCAGCATGTGCTCGGCATTGTTCGGGGCGCCAGTGATGACGCCTGCAGGTCGCACAAACTTTGAATGACTCTGCAGCTATACCGTCCTGGGGGTCACGACAGGTCTAAACTCTTCAACAAATCTGTAGCCCAACTTGCTTGACTCAAAGTGCCACGCCTCCCCCGGTATCACTGCCACCCTGGTCCATCTCGGCGCCGTCGTCACCTAGTGCTGGTATCAGTTAGTGCAGCAGTACTGATGGTGGTGCTGCTGGCAGGTAGGAGGAGAAAGAGCTGTCATTGTAGTCGTCGTTGTCGGTAAGGGCAGTGGTACAAGTAGTGGGTGGCAGTGGTAGTGGTGCCAGTGGTGGTGGCAGTTGTACTAGTAATATAGGAGGAGGAGGAGGAGTATCATAGCAGTACTGAAAATCTTTAATCGCGATAGCAGTGCTAGTTGCCAGCATTTTGGTAGTAGTCAGCGTGCTGGAAGTCATCGTCGCGCTGCCAGAAATGCATATTCAGCTATTGAGCGTCGCGCTTTCCACGTCCTGCTCACCCACATCCAGCTCAGACCGGTGCCTGCTAAGGTGACAAAAATGCGGTTCGAACCCCGGATCTAATCCTTTGCCGGAACTTTCTGCTCTGCCTGAACCTTCAGCATTTGGGCTCTTTCCGGAGGGGGCTGATGCTGGGAGAAATGTGATGTGGTAGGGATGACAAGGCTTGACATACAAGCCGTGCTACCACCGAACATACCCTGGCTGACAGCTGATTCTGGAAGACTCGAACGCCGTTCGTTCACAAGTCGCGCAAGAACGACAAAGCTACAGTGGTTTCATACAGTTTCGCAAGAAACCTTATCGAAATGCTGACGGCACAAAAACATCGCGAACGTGAGACAGCGCACCCTTTCTGCTTCTGGATGTTCTTGCCGCCCTCTTGGGGAATGTAGTACCTGCCAATCATACATCCGGAGTTGAGCATCAGCCAACGCCCACAGCCTAGCGTTCTCTAGGACTCTAGGAGCTCCATGTGAGATTCACTCCGGCCACCCTCCCGGGCGAGGCACATGCATCGAGGATTGCGGATCATGTTCCTGAGGCCACCGCTGGATCACAAGAAGCTGCAAGAGCTAAACAATGTCGTTCAGATGGGTGTTTTGATTGCGGCTGCTAGTACTACTACTACTACTACTGCTGCTGCTGCTGCTGCTGCTGCTGCTGCTGCTGCTGCTACAACAACAACAACAACAACAACTGCTACTAAGCTGCTACTGCTACTACTGTTGCTCTGGTGCTGCTACTACTACTACTACTACTACTACTACTACGACGACGACACT